ATCCATCACGGTCTTTCAAGCAAAAAAAAAACTATAGCCGTTAAAAATGTCCAGAAATACGTTCAATAAATTCCTGTACATTACCCTTTGGACAGAAAAGGAAAACATTCAGTGGAAGTCCTATTGGTCTTTTGACCGAATCAACTGTCGGAATTTTTAAAGGTCCATTTAACAAATTCTACCGAAAAGTCCCTTTAGAATATGAGTAAAACATTAGTTGAACTTCTCAATGGTACTTCATCGTTCTTTGAGCCGGATTTGGTCCTTTGGGCGTAGAAAACAACGATTAGTCTGTATCCCAACAGGAAGACATTGATTTCTTTTTTCAAAAGAATTCCTGGAAGAAGGGTAAATTGGAATCCCTAATAGTCGTTCGAGTAAGGAAGACTATAACAAAAATTCTATTGGAATCCTTAGTCCTTTGGAACAAATGGGAAAATCACTTGTTAGAATTTTTAATGGTCCTTCGAGAGAAAAAACTGCAGCTCGGCGGAATCCTTTATGCTCCTTCGAGCCGGATTTGGTTTTTTGAGCAAAAAAAAAATTTACGGGGAATCCCTCACGGTCTTTCAAGCAAAAAAAAACCTATAACCGTTAAAAATGTCCAGAAATTCGTTCAATAAATTCCTGTACATTACCCTCCGGACAGAAAAGGAAAACATCCAGTGGAAGTCCTATTGGTCTTTTGATCGAATCAACTGTCGGAATTTTTAAAGGTCCATTTAACAAATTCTACCGAAAAGTCCCTTTAGAATATGAGTAAAACATTAGTTGAACTTCTCAATGGTACTTCATCGTTCTTTGAGCCGGATTTGGTTCTTTGGGCGTAGAAAACAACGATTAGTCTGTATCCCAACAGGAAGACATTGATTTCTTTTTTCAAAAGGATTCCTGGGAGAAGGGTAAATTGGAATCCCTAATAGTCGTTCGAGTAAAGAAGACTAGAACAAAAATTCTATTGGAATCCTTAATCCTTTGGGATAAATGGGAAAATCACTTGTTAGAATTTTTAATGGTCCTTCTAGAGAAAAAACTGCAGCTCGGTGGAATCCTTAATGGTCCTTCGAGCCGGATTTGGTTTTTTGAGCAAAAAAAAAACATTTACCGGGAATCCCTCATGGTCTTTCAAGCAGAAAAAAAACTATAACCGTTAAAAATGTCCAGAAATACGTTCAATAAATTACTGTACATTACCCTTTGGACAGAAAAGGAAAACATTCAGTGGAAGTCCTATTGGTCTTTTGACCCAACCAACTGTCGGAATTTTTAAAGATCCATCTAACAAATTCTAAAAGTTCTTTTAGAATATGAACAAAACACTAGTTGAACTTCTCAATGGTACTTCATCGTTCTTTGAGCCGGATTTGGTTCTTTGGGCGTAGAAAACAACGGTTAGTCTGTATCTCCACAATTTTTTGAATGGTATATTGGAATCTCTAATGGTACTTCTAGCCAAAAAAACTACTACTAATCGGAATCCCTAAGAAGAAGAGATTTTCGAGGGCAGAAACTGCAATCATCTGTCGAAAATTTTAAAGATTCCTAGAGCGAAAAAAACGATGATTACTCCAAGAATTTCTGTGTCCCATGCGGCAAATGGTCTTTCGAGCCGGATTTAGGTCTTCAGGTAAACAAATCAACAACTAGTTGGAGTATTAACGGTCCGGAAAAAAGGAAACTATGACCCTTTGAACCATATTTGTCCTTTCGGGAGAGAAATTCCCGACGGTTTTTTGGGCAAAGAAATTTGTAACACTGCAAAATCCCTGGAAAAAAATACCTAAATGCCTCTTTGGCCAGAAAAAACACCTCATCCAGTGAAGAAAACTACAACTCATCAGAATCTCGAAGAAAAGTTCATACGTAGCTCGTGCGAAAAATGGTCCTTCGAGCCGGATTTGGCTCTTCAGTATCTCTTCAAAATTAAAGTAATAATACAAATTTTACTAATCTGTCTAAGAAAGTGAATTTGCTTAATTATTTGTGATTAAAAGTGTCAACATTTAATTTTAAATAAAATATCCTATTTGATCTTCTATTGTCTCCATCACATTTTTTGCCCTTTGTGCCTGCTATCTTCTTTTTATCCTTTCTGTTTTTTCTACTTTTCAGTCCTTTCTGCTCTTTCTGTTTCTTCTGTCTTATTTGTTCTTTGTGTACATTCTGTTTCTGGCCTTTCTATTTTTGTCTTTTCTGTCGTTTCTGCTGTATATATTCTATCTGTCCTATTTGTTCTTTTTATCTTGTCTATCTTTTATATTTTTTCTATGCATTCTATTCAATCTATCGGATTTGTTCTTTTTGCTCTTTTTGTTTCTTCTACCTTCTCTATTCTTTCTGTCCAACAATGCACCGTTTCTTTTCTATCTGTACTTTTTATTCTTTATGGCCTATTTTTCTGCACTTTCTATTCTTCTTGTCTATCTACCGTTATTATCCTATCTTTTCTGACCGTTTTCTTTTTTCTATTCTTTCTATTCTTTGTGTTATTTCTCTTCTTTCTGTTCGATATGTCCATTCTGTTCCTCTTGATCTTCTTGTCTATTATGTTCTTTTTGTCTTTTCTCTCCGTTCCGTCATTTCTGTATTTTCTGTACGTTCTGTTCTTTTTGTCATTTCGATTTCTTCTTTCTATTATTCTATATTTTCTACCCTTTCTATTCCATTTCTGTGTTGTCTGTCCTTTCTGTGATTTCTGTGCAAATCGTCAATTCTATGTCTTCTGCTCCTTCTGTCTATTCTATTCATTATGTCCTTTCTTCCCGTTCCCTTCTTTCTATCCTTTTTACTCTTTCTGTCTTTTATATCCTTACTGCTTCTTCTGTTCCTAGATTCCTAGAGCGAAAAAAATCGATGATTACTTCAAAAATTCCTGTATCCCATGCGGCAAATGGTCTTTCGAGCCGGATTTAGGTCTTCAGGCCAACAAATCAACAACTAGTTGGAATATTAAAGGTCCGCAAAAAAGGAAATTATGACCCTTTGAACCACATTCGTCCTTTCGGGAGAGAAATTCCCGACGGTCTTTTGGGCAAAGAAAATTGTAACGCTGCAAAATCCCTAGAAAAAATATCTAAACGCCTCTTTGGCCAGAAAAAACACCTCGTCCAGTGAAGAAAACTACAACTCATCAGAATCTTGACTAAAAGTTCGTACGTAGCTCATGCGAAAAATAGTCCTTCGAGCCGGATTTGGCTCTTCAGTATCTCTTCAAAATCAAAGTAATAATACAAATTTTAATAATCTGTCTAAGAAAGTGAATATTAGTAATTCGAAATGTTAACATTACAAAATTTTTCTAGCCGAGTCGTGACCTTTAAGCTTCTCGATATTTATTCAACCCCACAATCTGTTTTATTTTAATCCAGGCCGGAGCTAGATTTCAGTTAATTATAAAATTTCTGGCTCTAGAAACAAACTCTTTTAATAATCAGCCGGATTTTTAGAGTGGCATTTTGTTAAGTTTTAATTGGAGCAAATTCCTTGTTAGGTTGAATCGATTCTGATACTAAAACACAGGAAATTTCATATCCGTTTACACTAAATAATTCACACTTTGCAGATTCCTAAAGCGAAAGTTAAACTGATGTTCCATTAATTAATCTGCTAACTACTTTGTTCAATCAATAGAATCACCGAAAATGTAAACCTCAACTCTCGAAAAAACGCTTAAAACAGGCCTGAAAGCGATTATAGTTTATGGTCCAAAAAAACTTGATTTATTTTTAATGTACAAAGTTGGAGAAGTTCGCCTCAACTTATCTCTTTAATAACTCGATATTACCAGCTCCCTTGAAAACTCTCCATCGAAATTATTCATCACCGTTCCCCTGTATAAACACAAATCACCATCTGTCCGCACCGACCGCAAAAGCACGAATTTTCTTTCATTTTTAATTTATTAATGCGGCGCTTTTTCAGTATTTCATCCACCATTAAAACTTCTTTGTCCTCAGCTTTCCCGTCACAGGCAATTGAAACAACTGCCACAGGGTTAATACCTTTAATTCCGAGCCAAGAGGACACGAATTTGGGTCACTATTGATCCATTTGCAACATCCAGAACAAGTTCCTGAATCGTCCTTACATCGTGCGCTTCCTGGGGGCTCTACCAGGTAAATGTACCAACTGCTAAAAAAGAATGAGCTCCGAATTAAGACGGAGTAATTCAGGAAGTTCAAGCGCCGCGCCCCAGGAAGTAAAAGTTCGAGTTCTGCTGTCTATTGTTCAAACTTAATTGCAAAAGTTGAAGGTCGTACCTGAGTTGTCGTTTTAAGCTCGACGAATTATTTATCTTTTGATTACGGGAGGTTATACATGGGTCATTAAATATTATCAGGCTAAACACGGGTTAATAGGGAGGGAGTCAAAAATTCATATGCAAATCCGAGCCGGCTGATGAGAAAATCAACTCAAATATTTATTCGGCTGGAGCGAGGATCGATAATGCGCGGCTTGTTAAAAAGTAACGACGTCGTGTTAAAATTAATTAGAATCAACAAAAAAAGATAAATTCGGGGAAGTCCATTGGCCGCGGATTCCTCTCGGTTTCATGCTACTTTTGGAGGGAAAAACAAAATTAATTTAAATTAAATATTACCGGGTTAATAACCACACTATTTTTTTTGTTTCATTTCGTAATGGAAGCTTCCAAATTGAAATTATCCACAAGCCACAACCAATCATCAACAAAGCTATCGATGTACGCCAATAACATTGATTATCCTGCTTGGGGATTGACAAGCAGAGATATTGACACTCCTGCATAATTAAATACCGCTGTTCAAGCAAATTTCTACACAATGTGTGTACTAGCATTACCTCGATGTCGACCGAATAACAGTTCCAACTTAATTAAGACCAAACAATCGCCTACAAATGAATTACAAATATTCCATAACACGAGCCGAAATTGTCGCTGCATAAACTTGCAAAATTGTGTATATTAGTTGGTTGCCGTCGTATGTTCGGTTAACGTCTTTGACTGTCAAAAAACTTACCTTTTGATGGTGCTGAGGAGGTCCGGCCACGCCAAAGTGAGCAAAGAATCTCTGATAAAAAATTCCCAGGTCGTTAGTTGCAATTCGCTGTACACTCTTTCTGATCGCTGCAACCGCGGCTTACTTGATTTCGTTTTCGCACTACTACTATGGCTAGTACCGGCACTAGTGCTAGGGGTGGCATCGTCCGACATCATTACACTAATGCAAGGGACTATGCTCATCCTGAAACAAAACCCTAATTACCCACAATTTCTCAAATCCTCAAATAAAACAAAAACCCTCCTACTTTCAGACAAACGTCTCTGACAAAAAATCCGCGCCGGTTTCTTTTAATATTTGCATCCGGCATGACTTTTAATCCCCGAAATCTAAACGTTTGTCATAAAAATGTTCAAGCCTGAGAGCACTCAATTCTCTGCACAAAGAAAACCAAAAGATAAGGACTCTCGAGACCGTTTTAAATACAACTAGACGTTCAACATACAATTAATTTTCAGCGCGCTGGGCTCGAATTAACAAAATGAACGTCCTGGAAACAAGTCGAGCGTGTTTTCCAATCGATGGGCACTGTCTTCTCGTTAACTTTTCAGGTGTCGGAGTAACAGTGATTAACATTGGGGACAATTCAGGGAGAAATCGATCAGTTTCGGGCTGTTTTCTTTAAAAGCACGCTGGAGCCATATAAAATTGCGCATTCAGAGTTGTGAATAGAAAAATGTCGATAATTGGGATGAAACCGTAAACAAGGTGGATATGCAACGGTAGGTTCGCAGTCGCTGGAGATTGGTTAATGTTTGGTTGCCTAACCCGAGGGGTTGCCGGCTTTTGTGAATAAACGGGCTTCCACTTAGGTAATAGAAAAGCGGAGCTTCAGCAGCAAATTCGTTTAAATTAGAGCGGAAGTAAAATGGCTGCAACAACACGAACTTGTAGTTTTTTTGTTTAATTCCTACTATTTCGTATTGTATATTTTTGCATATTTTGCTTATTTAACTATTTTTTTGCATTGATTGAATATTTTAATGTTACGGTACGACGCCTATGGGTTCTAGTATGTAAGGCGATGATGACTCATCGACCGGGCGGCGTTCGCTCACGAAAAGCCTGGAATCGGAAGTCGCGATGGGAAACCCAGAAAAACCTCGAAGCGGCCTAGCATGGTTTGGCATCCAGGGCGATTTTCTATTGAGCGCCCCCCATATACTAAAACAACAAATACTAATGTGCTTACGGGTCTTTATTTTGGCAAAATATTCTATGACTTTATAAAAATTTATTTTCCTCTCTTTTTCAATTGATAAAGTGGAAAGATTTTTTTGGTGACGTTAGCAGTGAGATTTATAAACTTGTCAGTTGCCAAGTGGGCGTTGATAGTAACTTTGCCGTATTTAAAAGGGTTGTAGAAGAAAAGTGAAGGATTTAAGTTGATTAATACAAAAACTTACTATTTTAGACATGTTTTAAGTTCCTTGTTATGAATAAATGGCTATGTATATTAAGAAAGAGAAGGAAAAATATAAGCCCCGCCCACCCACCCTATCCCGATTGTGATGATTTTTTCTTAGTCGTCGAGATTTTTTTTTAGAATTTAAATGCCAAATTCTTATTATTTCTCTACAAAAAACTACCATGTAAGACATTAGTTTGACTATCGTGTTATTTAAAGAGTAGTTTGTATATTAAGAAAAAATTAAAGCCAAAGATTAAGCCCACCCATACCTGCCTTGATCTAAATAGTAATGAAGTTTTCATTCGTTGGCAGATTTAGAGGCGGAGCCTAAATGCAAAATCCATAATTCTTTACGAAAATTCACCATTTTAAACGTGTTTTAATTTTCTAAGAATTAAAAAAATCATCACAATTGAGACTGGGTGGGTGGGCGGGGTTTATATTTTGCCTTTTTTTCTTAACATACATAAAATTCTTTGAACAACACGATCCCCAAAAACATATTTTTAATTTCTTGTAAATAAATAACTATTTTGCAGTTAAGCTTCGTCCTATTGTTTCACGGCGAATAAAAAAAATCATTACAATTGAGAGAGGGCGGGTGAGCGGGCTTACATTTTGTTTTTTTTTCGATATGTGTAGACTTCTTTGACAACATGAAACTTAAAACATGTTTAAAATTGAAAATTTGTATAAGGAAAAATCGATCAATATTTCCTTGCAAAAACAATTTTAACCATGTTTTAAGTCACTTGTTATGAAAAGATGGGTATGTATATTAAGAATAGAAGGCTAAAAATATAAGCCCCGCCCACCCGCCCTATCTCAATTCTGATGATTTTTTTAATTCATCGGAAGCCGAGGAGCGAGGCTTAATTGCATGATCGATATTTCTCTATACAAATTTACCATTTTAAACGTGTTTTAAGTTTCTTGCTATGAAAAATGGCCGTGTACATTTAAAAAAAGACAAAGCATAAGCCCCGCCCACCCACCCTATCTCGATGGTAATAATTTTTTTATTCGTCGAGATTTTTTTTTGTTTAAATGTAACATTTTTATTATTTCTCTACAAGAAACTACGTACCATGCAAGCCATTTGTTTGAGTATCGTGTTATTGAAACAATACTAAGTATTTTAAGAAAACATTAAAGCATTGCCACCCAAACCTGCAATGATCTAAATGGTAATGAAGTTTTCATTCGTTGGGAGACCTAGGGGCGGAGCCTAATGGCAAAATCCATATTTATTTACAAAAATTAACCATTTTAAACGTGTTTTAAGTTTCTAAAAATTAAAAAAATCATCACAATTAAGATTGGGTGGGTGGGCGGGGCTTATATTTTGCCTTGTTTGCTTAATATACATAGTATTCTTTGTACAACACGATCCTCAAAAACATATTTTTTACTTCTTGTAAAGTCGTAACTATTTTGCAGTTAAGTTTTGTCTTCTTAATTCACGGCGAATAAAAAAATTACTACAAATGAGAAAGGGCGGGTGGGCGGGCTTATATTTTTTTTTGTGTTACGTGTTGACTTTTCACAACATGAAGCTTAAAACTAATTTAAAATAAAAAATTTCTGTAAGAAAATGTCGATTCTGCAATTAGGCCCCGCCCCATAATTGCAAAATCCATATTTCCTTGCAAAAACCATTTTAACAATGTTTTAAGTTTCTTGTTATGAAAAGATGGCTATGTGTATTAAGAAAAGAAAACAAGATATAAGCCCCGCCCACAGGCCCTATCTCAATTCTGACGATTTTTTTATTCGTCGTAACCCGAGGGGCGGAGCTTAACTGCAAAATCGATACTTTCGTACAAAAATCTATCGAAAACATTCATTGAAAATGGAAAATCTAGAAAAAGATATTGTAATTAATTATAAATGATTTTTTTATTGTTCGTAAGCAGAGGGGAGGGGCTTAGTTGCAAGATCCATATTTTTTATATGAGTATTTACCACTTTAAACATGTTTTAAGTTTCCTGCTATGAGAAAAAATGGCTATGTATATTAAGAAAAAAAAAATAGAAAATATAAACCCCGCCCACCCGCCCTATCGCGATTGTGATGATTTTTTTTTAATTGTCGAGATTTTTTTTGAATTTAAATGCAAAATTCTTATTATTTCTCGACAAAAAAAATACCATATAAGACATTTGTTTGAGTAAGGTGTTATTAAAAGAATACTATGTGTATTAAGAAAACATTAAAGCCCCACCCATATCTGCCCTGATCTAAATAGTAATGAAGTTTTCATTCGTTGGTAGATCTAGAGGCGGAGCCTAATTGCAAAACCCATATTTCCTCACAAAAATTTACCATTTCAAACGTGTTTTAAGTTTCTAAGAATTAAAAAATCATCACAATTGAGATAGGGTGGGTGGGCGGGGTTTATATTTTGCGTGTTTTTCTTAATATACACAGTATTCTTTGAACAAGATGATCCCCAAAAACATATTTTTAATTTCTTGTAAATAAATAACTATTTTGCAGTTAAGCTTCGTCCCATTGTTTCACGGCGAATAAAAAAAATCATTACAATTGAGAGAGGGCGGGTGGGCGGGCTTACATTTTGCCTTTTTGTTTTAATATGTGTAGACTTCTTTTGACAACATGAAACTTAAAACATGTTTAAAATTGAAAATTTGTATAAGGAAAAATCGATCAACATTTCCTTGCAAACACAATTTTAAGCATATTTTAAGTTTCTTGTTATGAAAAGATGGGTATGTATATTAAGAATAGAAGGCTAAAAATATAAGCCCCGCCCACCCGCCCTATCGCAATTCTGATGATTTTTTTTATTCATCTTAAGCTGAGGGGCGAGGCTTAATTCCATGGTCGATATTTCCCTATACAAAATTACCATTTAAAATATGTTTTAAGGTTCTTACTATTACAAAGTGGCTATGTATATTAAAAAAAAAAAAGAGAAAGCATAAGCCCCGCCCACCCACCCTACCTCGATTGTTATAAATTTTGTATTCGTCGAAATTTCTTTTTTGGTTTAAATGCAAATTTTTTTATTATTTCTTTACAAGAAACTACCATGCAAGTCATTCGTTTGAGTATCGTGTTATTGAAACAATACTAAGTATTTTAAGACAACATTCAAGCCAAAGATTAAGCCCCACCCAAACCTGCAATGATCTAAATGGTAATGAAGTTTTCATTCGTTGGGAGACCTAGGGCGGGGCGTAATTGCAAAACCCATATTTCTTTACAAAAATTTACCATTTTAAACGTGTTTTAATTTTCTAAGAATTAAAAAAATCATCACAATTAAGATGGGGTGGGTGGGCGGGGTTTATATTTTGTCTTTTTTTCTTAACATACATAACGTTCATTGAACAACACAATCCCCAGAAACATATTTTTAATTTATTGTAAATAAATAACTATTTTCAGTTAAGCTTCGTCCCATTGTTTCACGGCCAAAAAAAAATCATCACAATGGAGATAGGGCGGGTGGGCGGGCTTACACTTTGCCTTTTTGTTTTAATATGTGTGAACTTCATTTCACAACATGAAACTTAAAACATGTTGGAAAATTTATATAAGGAAATATCGGTTTTGCAAATAGACTCCGCCCCCTAATTGCAAAATCCATATTTCCAAAAAACCATTTTAACAATGTTTTAAGTTTCTTGTTATCAAAAGATGGCTATGTATATTAAAAAAATGAGGCAAAATATAAGCCCCGCCCACCCGCCCTGTCTCAATTCTGATGATTTTTTTATTCGTCGTAAGCCGAGGGCCGGGGTTTAATTGCAAGATCCATATTTGTCTACAAGAATTTACCATTTTAAACATGTTTTAAGTTTCTTGTTATGAAAAAATGGCTACATATATTAACAAAAAAAAAGGAAAATATAAGCCCCGCCCACCCACCCTATCTCGATTGTGATGTCTTTTTTCAATCATCGAGATTTTGTTTTTTTAATTTAAATGCAAAATCCTTATGATTTCTCAAAAAAAAATTACCATGTAAACCATTTGTTTGAGTATCGTGTTATTAAAAGAATACTATGTATATTAGAAAAACATTAAAGCCAAAGATTAAGCCCCACCCATATCTGCCCTGATCTAAATAGTGATGAAGTTTTCATTCGTTGTTAGATCTAGAGGCGGAGCCTAATGGCAAAATCAATATTTCTTTACAAAAATTTACCATCTTAAACGTGTTTTAAGTTTCTAAGAATTAAAAAAATCATCACAATTAAGATTGGGTGGGTGGGCGGGGCTTATATTTTACATTGTTTGCTTAATATACATAGTATTCTTTGTACAACACGATCCTCAAAAACATATTTTTAATTTCTTGTAAAGTCGTAACTATTTTGCAGTTCAGTTTCGTCCTCTTGGTTCACGGCGAATAAAAAAATTACTACAAATGAGAAAGGGCGGGTGGGCGGGCTTATATTTTCTCTTTGTGTTACGTGTGGACTTCTTTTCACAACAGGAAGCTTAAAACTAATTTAAAATAGAAAATTTCTGTAAGAAAATGTCGATTCTGCAATTAGGCCCCGCCCCATAATTGCAAAATCCATATTTCCTTGCAAAAACCATTTTAACAATGTTTTAAGTTTCTTGTTATGAAAAGATGGCTATGTGTATTAAGAAAAGGAAACAAAATATAAGCCCCGCCCACCCGCCCTATCGCGATTGTGATGATTTTTTTTTAATTGTCGAAATTTTTTTTGAATTTAATTGCAAAATTCTTATTATTTCTCGACAAAAAAACTACCATATAAGACATTTGTTTGAGTAACGTGTTATTAAAAGAATACTATGTGTATTAAGAAAACATTAAAGCCAAAGATAAAGCCCCACCCATATCTGCCCTGATCTAAATAGTAATGAAGTTTTCATTCGTTGATAGATCTAGAGGCGGAGCCTAATTGCAAAACCCATATTTCCTCACAAAAATTTACCATTTCAAACGTGTTTTAAGTTTCTAAGAATTAAAAAAATCATCACAATTGAGATAGGGTGGGTGGGCGGGGTTTATATTTTGCGTGTTTTTCTTAATATACACAGTATTCTTTGAACAACATGATCCCCAAAAACATATGTTTACTTTCTTGTAAAGAAATGAATATTTTGCAGTTAAGTTCCTTCCCCTTGGTTCACGGCGAATAAAAAAATCATTACATTTGAGATAGGGCGGGTGGGCGGGCTTTCATTTTGTCTTTTTGTTTTAGTATGTGTAGACTTTTTTTCACAATATGAAACTTAAAACATCTTTAAAATGGAAACTTTGTATAAGGAAATATCGATTTTGGAATTAGGCTTCGCCCCGCAATGGCAAAATCCATATTTCTTTGCAAAAACCATTTTAATCTTGTTTTAAGTTTCTTGTTATTAAAATCGGCTATGTATATTAAGAAAAGAAGGCAAAATATAAACCCCGCCCACCCACCCGGTCTCAATTCTGACGATTTTTTTTTTATTCGTCGTAAGCCGAGGGGTAGGTTTTAATTACAATTAAATCTATGAGAATTTACCATTTTAAATATGCTTTAAGTTTCTTGTTATGAAAAAATTGCTATGTATATTAAAAAAAAGGGGGAAATATAAGCCCCGCCCACCCGCCTTATCTCAATTGTGATGTTTTTTTTTAGATTTAAATACAAAATCTTATTATTTCTCTAAGACATTTGTTTGAGTATCGTGTTACTCAAAGAATACTATGTATATTAAGAAAAAAATATAGCCAAAGATTAAGCCCCACCCATGCCTGCCCTGATCTAAACATTGAAGTTTTCATTCGTTAGCAGACCTAGAGGCGGAGCCTACGAAGGACGAAAAGGACGAAGGACGAAGGACGAAAATGACAAATGACGAAGGACGAAAAGAATGAAGGACGAAAAAAGGACGGAGGACCAAAACGACGAAGGACGAAGGACGAAGTACCAGAAATGAACGAAGGACGAAAAAAGAATGAATTACGAAAAAAGGACGAAGGACGAAAAGGACGAGAGACGAAGGACGAAAAGAACGAAGAACGAAAAGGACGAAGGATGATAAGAACGAAAGACGAAAAGGACGAAGGACGGGAAAAGGACGAAGGACGGGAAAAGGACGAAGGACGAAGAACGAAAAAGACAAATGACGAGGGACGATAAGAATGAAAGACGAAAAATGACGAAGAACGAAAACAACAAAGGGCGAAGGACGAAAAAAGGACGAAGGACGAAAAGGACGAAGGACGAAGGACGAGAAAAGAATGAAGGACGAAAAGGTCGAATGACGAAAAGAACGAAGGACGAAAAGGACGAAGGATGAAAAGAACGAAAGACGAAAAGCACGAAGGACGAAAAGGACGAAGGACGGGAAAAGGACGAAGGACGGGAAAAGGACGAAAATGACAAATGACGAAGGACGATAAGAATGAAGAACGAAAAAAGGACGAAGAACGAAAACGACGAAGGGCGACGGACGAAGTACGAGAAATAAACGAAGGACGAAAAAAGGACGAAGGACGAAAAAAGGACAAATGACGAATAGGACGAAAGACAAAAATAACTAACGACGAAAAGGACGAAGGACGATAAAAGAACGAAGAATGAAAAGGACAAGGGACGAGGATGAAAAGGACGAAGGACGAGAAAAGAACGAAGGACGAAAAGGACGAAGGATGAAAAGAACGAAAGACGAAAAGGACGAAGGACGAAAAGGACGAAGGACGGGAAAAGGACGAAAATGACAAATGACGAAGGACAATAAGAATGAAGGACGAAAAAAGTACGAAGGACGAAAACGAGGAAGGACGAAGGACGAAGTACGAGAAATGGACAAAGGACGAAAAAAGGACGAAGAACGAAAAAAGGACAAAAGACGAAAAAAGGACGAAGGACGAAAAGGACAAGGGACGAAGAACGAAAAGGACGAAGAACGAGAAAAGGACGAAGGACGAAAAGGTCGAATGACGAAAAAAGGACGAAGGACGAAAGCGACGAAGGACGAAGGACGAAGTACGAGAAATGGACGAAGGACAAAAAAAGGACGAAGTACGAGAAATGGACAAAGGTCGAAAAAAGGACGAAGGACGAAAAAAGGACAAATGACGAATAGGACGAAAGACAAAAATAACGAACGACGAAAAGGACGAAGGGCGATAAAAGAACGAAGAATGAAAAGGACAAGGGACGAGGATGAAAAGGACGAAGGACGAGAAAAGAACGAAGGACGAAAAGGACGAAGGATGAAAAGAACGAAAGACGAAAAGGACGAAGGACGAAAAGGACGAAGGACGGGAAAAGGACGAAAATGACAAATGACGAAGGACAATAAGAATGAAGGACGAAAAAAGTACGAAGGACGAAAACGAGGAAGGACGAAGGACGAAGTACGAGAAATGGACAAAGGACGAAAAAAGGACGAAGAACGAAAAAAGGACAAAAGACGAAAAAAGGACGAAGGACGAAAAGGACAAGAGACGAAGGACGAAAAGGACGAAGAACGAGAAAAGGACGAAGGACGAAAAGGTCGAATGACGAAAAGAACGAAGGACGAAAAGGACGAAGGATGATAAGAACGAAAGACGAAAAGGACGAAGGACGAAAAGGACGAAGGACGGGAAAAGGACGAAGGACGAAGGACAAAGGACGAAGGACGAAAATGACAAATGACGAAGGACGATAAGAATGAAGGACGAAAAAAGGACGAAGGACGAAAAAAGGACGAAGAACGAAAACGACGAAGGGCGAAGGACGAAGTACGAGAAATGAACGAAGGACGAAAAAAGGACGAAGGACGAAAAAAGGACGAAAGACGAAAAGGACGAACGACGAAGGACGAAGTACGACAAATGGACGAAGGACGAGAAAAGAATGAAGGACGAGAAAAGAATGAAGGACGAAAAGGTCGAATGTCGAAAAAAACGAAGGACGAAAAGGACGAAAGATGAAAAGAACGAAAGACGAAAAGAACGAAGGACGAAAAGAACGAAGGATGAAAAGAACGAAAGACGAAAAGGATGAAGGACGAAAAGGACGAAGGACGGGAAAAGGACGAAAATGACAAATGACGAAGGACGATAAGAATGAAGGACGAAAAAAGGACGAAGGACGAAAACGACGAAGGACGATAAGAATGAAGGACGAAAAAAGGACGAAGGACGAAAACGACGAAGAACGAAGTACGAGAAATGGACAAAGGACGAAAAAAGGACGAAGAACAAAAAAAGGACGAAAGACGAAAAAAGGACGAAGGACGAAAAGGACAAGGGACGAAGGACGAAAAGGACGAAATACGAGAAAAGGACGAAGGACGAAAAGGTCGAATGACGAAGAAAGGACGAAGGGCGAAGACGACGAAGGACGAAGTACGAGAAATGGACGAAGGACGAAGGACGAAGTACGAGAAATGGACGAAGGACGAAAAAAGGACAAATGATGAATAGGACGAAAGACAAAAATAACGAACGACGGAAAGGACGAAGGACGAATAAAGGACGAAGAACGAAAAGGACAAGGGACGAAGGACGAAAAAGACGAAGGACGAGAAAAGGACGAAAGACGAAAAGGACGAACGACGAAGGACGAAGTACGAGAAATGGACGAAGGACGAGAAAAGAATGAAGGACGAAAAGGTCGAATGTCGAAAAGAACGAAGGACGAAAAGGACGAAGGATGATAAGAACGAAAGACGAAAAGGACGAAGGACGAAAAGGACGAAGGACGGGAAAAGGAAGCTCATGTTTTTACGAAGGTTTCATTTAATATTTCAGCTACTGTAAATAATCCCGAGTTTTAGGTAAAAGGGTTGGTGAATTCCTTTAGCAAAATGCCGATAATTCAAGAGAAGATTTGATGTGTTAAATACACCAAGCCCTCCCACCACTTTTTTTTTAGTTCTCTTCCTATATGAATTAGTTCGTGTTGGGTTTTCGTTAGGTGAAATTCGAAAGTGTAAAAGTGTTTTAAAAATTGTTTATCATCTAGTATTTTGTGAAATAGTAGTATCGACTAAACAAAAAATGTCTTATCTTTCAAAAAAACTAAGCCCCCCACCCACCCCCCCCTTCTTCTCATTTTGACGACTAATTTAATTCAGATCGGATAAAATGTGAACAATATGTCATAGACTTGTGGTGCACTAGATTATCAACACTTCGTTAGTATAAGTAAATTTCTTATTCTAAAAAAGAAATTCAGTAAACAAAGAACCACACTTGTTTATAAACAAAAAACCTTGATGTCTATGTATGTAGGTTGAATCTTGTCTGTTGTCTGGGGTTTTTCCTAACACGTGCATTCACATCCCATTGCTCATTTTGTAACTGCTTAAAATGATAAGAAGACGTAGAGAAATGCTATCATAATTTGACCCGTAACCAACATATACGTAAATAACAACCTTTCCGATAACTTCTTATCAAAAAATTAATTATATGCAAAATTTGCATCATCCTTGTAAACAGTCTAATAAACATTGTGGTTTTTCCTTGTTATAACGCCAGCATGAAGGTTTTCCCCACGAGTGCCACTTATCTGCACAATTGCAGCAACAGTAGTCAAACACACATATAAAAGCCTCCCATGAAACCCACAAACCAGTTCCCATCAACTCGTTCAAGCCAAAACACCAAAATGAAGACCTTGGTTTGCCTTTTCGTCGTCACCATCATCGCCACTTCGATGGTAAACAGTTCAAAATATTTCTAAATCGATCTTATTACATTGTACTAAATTTAGGCAGACAACTTCCATCAAAAAATGCAAGAATACAGCCAACAATGCAAATCCGAAACTGGAATATCCAATGAGGCCTTGTCGCAAATCCTCAGACCCTCTGACGACCCAAAACGCAAGGAACATATTTTCTGTATTTTGAAAAAAGCTGGATTTATGAACGACGACGGAGATTTGCTTGTTGACGCTATTGTGGCTGAATACACTCAAGGTGGTTCTAATCCTGAAGGCATAGAAAAGATAACGAAGAAGTGTGCCGTGAAGAAGGAGAGTCCTCCGGAGACTGCCACCCACTTCATCGAATGCGTACATCGACCCAGACCGAAGAGATACGTGTTGTTTAGAAATGTTGCAGCAGAAGAATAGAAATAAATTGATTTTTCCTAAAACTCCAGCGACTTATTTGGAAAAACAAGAATCGTTGCTTTATTTGTTTAAAAATAGGGAGCCATTAGCTTCTCGCTAGCGATTTCAGGGATCGCAAATTATGGTGGATGCGCCGGGATATTAATTCCGAGAAGTCGGTTCTAGACCCTGTGTAATTAATTGTTCTCTCTCTGGCAGTGCTTCAAGTCGTAAGCACAACATTTAAAGTACATATTATTCCCAGTTCAGCCAAGTAAGGTATTACCAAACATTGTAGGGGTATTAAGACTGTACTTTTCAATTAGAGCGAACGTGCTGCTGCCTTCACTCAACAACCCTTACGTAAAAAACGTTTGTCCAAAGCTTCATTTGCAGACAATTACCTCAATCAAGTTTGAATTCAAAATTAAAAATTAGTGCAGCAGATTTATATAACATGAACGAAATGAAACAGACTGCATTAATTCCCACAACAAAAAAAAATCAAAATTGTGGTGACTGTAAACACTAATTTTGATTAAAGCTCCAATTAAACGAAAACCATCGATAAAAGGGATTAGTAGGGGTTTTTAGGCAAAAATTGAATTTTTTTATGGTTCATGAATATTCATGACTTGTATTGCAACAACTGTGATTAAAAATATTTGGTGATTTGTATGTAAAAAAAAAAACTGGATAAAAATACCGGTGAATGTTTTATGAGCAAGCGTCGATTTTATTTCACTAGAATCGAGAAAAGAGCTTCATAAGGATGTCATTACGTTCGATAAATGTCCACATGCAACAAGTGACTAATAGTGCTCCGGTTACGTAGTTGATTGTCCAATTTCACAGTTTTAATTTTACAGAAGTTTCGACGTTTTGTGTCATCGTGTTCAACGTCAGCTGGGAGGAGATTAAACGAAACCAATTTCCTAAAAGTTATCGAGTTAAGTGAACTAGTACTAGAGAGGTAATTATTAATTTCAATAAAAATAAAGTCGGTTTTAATGGCTTTGTGGGTTTCTAAACATAACGAACATTTGTAATCGAGTCATCCTTGTTATTATATCTGTATACGTTTTTTGTATCGTATTGTTACGAAAGAAACCCATACACCGCCCCGGTACGACGCCTATGGGTTCTAGTATGTACGGCGATGATGACTCATGGGCCGGGCGGCGTTCGCTAACGAAAAGCCTGGAAGCGGAAGTCGCGATGGGAAACCCAGAAAAACCTCGAAGAGGCTGCGGATCTTAAGCACGATGTTTTCAATTTTAATTTCTAAAAGCTCTAGACTCGGAACAGACCAGAATATCCCCATTTTACGATAAATCTGAAAAGCTCCAAGTAAAAAATGATCAAAATTTTGTTTAAAAGTTAAGCAATTAAAAACACTTACATTTAAATTTGTTAGTACGGTTATTGAACAAAAAACAGAAACAAAAAATAAATTAGGATTTAAATAAAAAATCCGCTGTGATCTGTTTCGCACTTTCCATCAAAATAAATCTCGCTACGGCTCTGGTTGTTTTAATATTTGATTTGATGGGGACCCTCTTCTCAACTGACGCTGAAGTACAGTACTGTGTAATAAAAAAAGGACAGGATAAAATATTGACCCTAGAAACGAAGTTCACACTGTGATTTTATTATACAAAAATGTGTCGATTTCTGCTCCCGTGCAACAAATGTGTGACGTCATCTCCAATTTGACAAAAAACCGTTCGTGCGATTAAATTAATTCATCATATTTGCTCTTAATCAATACACACATACAATTTCCATATCAAGCTTCAATAGAATTCGAATTCACGCATCATCGCACAATATTACATAAATAATTCAGAGAAAGCTCTCACTCAAATATTAATCGCGATATTTTGGAACGTAATTGCATGCGATAGCATTGTTTCGAAATTTGCTATTATGTGCTTAATGTGGCGTATTTTTCCAACATTGAAACACTTTGTTGTTGGCTTCGGCCTGAAGTTGAAAAATTTGCAGAATGTGGAAAGTTAAATAACATGCAATCTTCGCATAATGAAGTTTTATTTCCTTGTCTCGAACGAAATCTCATGCGGGAATGCTTTTTAGAAAAATGCCTCCATTATTTCATGACTCAAGTACAATTGAAGGTGAAACGTGCAGGTATAAATCCACCGGGATTAAACTTTCTTATCTAAATGTAAATTTTCTAAAATTTATAAATTATGTTGCTGTGTTTAAAATTAATTAAAAGTGGGTGCTAATTTTAATAGTAAAAAATTTATTTCTTTATTGGAAAGTTGGTTAATTAGCGCCGATTACTTAGTAAACTCGAAACTTAAGTACAACGTAAACAATAGCGCCAGATTTTTCAAAATAAACTGTCTGTAACAATAGGTTCGTTTTTTTTTGTTATTAAAAGCAAACTTACTCGTCAATATTTGTGGAATAAATTGGGAAAAAAACGTAATCTTGCGGCTGTAAACCCTCCATCCCAAACAAATAAACCTAAAGGAAATGGATCTCGCAAAGTTCGGACCCTACTAAGCCAGAGAAAATTATTGCGTGCTGAAAGTTCATATCGTGAATATTTATACAATGTACTCGTTATATGAATTATTGATCGGAGATCACTGGAAAATAGTTTCACACAAAAACGGCTTATACCAATAAAAATGTGAACAAAGTTTGGTATGGAGAAGAATGAATAATCAGCCCGTCCGGCCAGGAAAAATTTGCCTTGGGAGTTCTAGTAATGTTGTTGTTTTTGAAAGAAAGTTTTCCGATAAAAGGTTGCTTTCAAGAAGAAAAACAACGTGAATTAGGGGAAACAGTGGTCTAGATTGGACAGTTATTGAGCATATTGAAAATCACTTACAAGCCTGCCAAATTCATTAATATGATGTTTTTTTAAAGACACTTTTAGATATATTGTAAGCTCGGAATTATGCAAAAAATTTCTGAAATACGCAAGAAAACTTAACTATTTCGGTGTATTCTATTACTCTATTAACAAGTTATTTTATTGTCTAACTAGTTACTCCCTTGAAAAATATTATTACTTACATTTATTACAATATGTTTTCTCGATTTTGCATTTTAAATTAATGTCTTCGATAAATTTTGTACGAAAGTATAGATTTTGCAATTAGGCTCCGCCTCTTGGTCTGACAACGAATGAAAAGTTCGTCATATTTGAATTTGGAATGGATATAAATGGGGCTTAATTTTTGGCTTACGATATGTTTTTTATTTCTTGTACAGAAATCAGGATTTTGCAATTAAGCTCCGCCCCTCGGCTTACGACGAATACAAAAAATCATCACAATTGAGATAGGGCGGGTGGGCGGGGCTTATATTTTGCCTTCTTTTTCTTAATATACATGGTCATCTTTTCATTACAAGAAACTTAAAACATGGTTAAAATGGTTTGCAAGCAAACATGGATTTCGCAATTATGGGGCGGAGCCAAATTGGAAGATCCATATTTCCGTGCAAAAATTTTACATTTTAGACGTGTTTTAAGAATTAAAATAATCATCACAATTCAGATGGGGTTAAAGTTTGTCAGCAGTACCTTCTAACATAAAATTGATTTTGGCAAATGAGACACCCTGTAAGAAGGAAAAGGGTGGGTGGGCGGGGCTAATAGCTGTTAACATAAGACTGATTGGCAAATGAGATACCCACTAAGAACAGAGAGGGCGGGTGGGCGGGGCTATTATTTAAAATTATTTTGCTTCACTGAACTAATTTTTGATGTTTACAATTTTGATATAACTATTATCGTTTTTTCCAGGAATATATTAAATGTGCAATGACGCTCCATTAAGTAAACATCATAAAATAAAGCCAAAGATTAGGTCCCATCCATAGCTGTCTCGTTCTCTATTCTCAATTGTGATGAATTTTTCATTTGTCGTCAAATCGAGGGGCGGGGCTTAAATGCAAGATCCATATTTGTCTACAAGAATTTACAATTTGAACATGTTTTAAGTTTCATATTGTGAAAAGAAGTCTACACAAATTAAAACAAAAAGGTAAAATGTAAGCCCGCCCACCCGCCCTGTCTCAATTGTGATGTTTTTATTCGCCGTGAACCAAAGGGGTGGAGTTTAACTGCAAAATACTTATTTCTTTACAAGAAATTAAAAAAATGATTTTGAGTATGGCGTTGTCCAAAGAACACTATAAATATTAAGAAAAAAGGGTAAAAAATATAAACCCCGCCCACCCACCCCATCTCGACTGTGATGACTTTTTCTGCTTTATACATTTATTTTCTTTGTGCAACAGGATTACTTAAGAACATATTTCACATGGTAAATTCAAGTAGAAAAATAAAGATTTTTCAATTAAGCTCCGCCCCTCGGCTTACGACGAATAAAAAAAAATCATCACAATTGAGACAGGGCGGGTGGGCGGGGCTTACATTTTCCTTTTTTTTCTTAATATACATATCCATCTTTTCATACCAAGAAACTTAAGACATAGTTAAAATTGTATATTTTTTCAAGGAAATATAGATTTTGAAATTAAGGGGCGTAGCCTAATTGCAAAATCTATATTTCCTTATACAAATTTTTCATTTTAAACATGTTTTAAGTTTCATGTTGTGCGGGTAAATTTTTGGTTTAATTTTTTCTTAATATACACAGTATTCTTTGAACAGCACGATACTCATAAATATATTTTTTATTTTTCGTAGAGAACTAATGATTTTGCAGTTAAGCTCCGCCCTCTTGACCCACGACAATGTCTTAAGTTTCATGTTGTGAAAAGAAGTCTACACAAATTAAAACAAAAAGACAAAATGTAAGCCCGCCCACCCGCCCTATCTCAATTGTGATAATTTGTTTTATTCGCCATTAACCAAATGGGTGGAGCTTAACTGCAAAATACTTATTTGTTTACAAGAAATTGAAAACATGTTTTTAAGTATGACGTTGTTCAAAGAATACTATATATATTAAGAAAAAAGGGTAAAATATAAACCCCGCCCACCCACCCCATCTCGCTTATGATGATTTTTTCTGCTTAGTACATTTATTTTCTT